CAGTATCTGGGTGAGTGGAGGCTCTAAGGTCAACCAGTGGACCTTGGAAAGATTTCTTCTACCTTGGAGCAATGAAATCAGCAGAATCTCAAAACTATCAGAACCACTTGAGCAGTTCCCTTGGAACATGCTCCACATTGGGGACCCAGGGAATGATACCCGGTGGCTGTCCCTAGATACTGTTGTAGTTGGGTTGCTTGGAGAGTCTCTCTCCCAATGTGTCCCCACTTACCCCAGACACAGGAAGAAAATAGGAGATTGGAAACAGTTGTCTGATCCACTTTCCCCCATTCCTTGACCGTCCTCACCCTGATCAGGGATCCACACGGACATGCATCCTTCTCAACTATGTAAACATTATCAAAAATAAAATGTCACTATACAGAAAAGAAAATCAAGACAAACAAATATGCAGCACTTTTCATGTAGGCTTATGAACGTAGAAAATCTGTTCATTTGTATTTGTGTATTTATAGCAATGTGTATATATACTTGATTTTACTAGCAAAAAATGTAAAAATATGGATTTGCTGCTGTTAAAGTTTCTAGTTTTTCGTTATCTTTATTGTTAAAATTATGTAAGGTAAGTGGGCATTGTGATCCAGTTGTTACACCACCACTCTTTGAGTACCTGCACACGCACTAGTTTGTGCCTCCGTTGCTCCTCTCCCAGTTTAGCTCCCTGCTTATGCTCCTGAGAAAGCAGCAGAAATGGCCAGAAATGGCCGTAGTGCTTGGGTCCCTGCTAACCCACGCGGGAGACCTGGGTGGAGGTACGGTCTGCCCACACATATTGTGGTCGTTTGAGGAGTGAATCAGTGGATGGAAGATACTTCTTTGTTTCTCTCTCCTTTTTGTAACTCTTGATTTTGCAGTAAAGAAATTGTAATTTCTTTGTAAAGTGGGCTTTACAATAAAATCAGAGTGAGCCACTGGTACCAGGTAATAGACAGGTAATACCAGGTAATAGACAGTATGGATTATTTTTCTACCCCTCTACTGGATGTAATACACCTGTGTGGATCATTGTCCGTGCTGGCTGATTTCTAGATGTTCGTTTCAAACACACATGGAATATTTATGAAAATTAACCATCTGCTAGGCCGTAAAAACTCCATAGATTTCAGAGCACTGCTATCACCCTGAGGAGTCTCTCATCACAAGCAGTTAATTAGAAGTCATCACACAAAGGTAATTAGAAAAAAAAAGTTCTCTGCATTGGGAAATTCAAGATAACTTCCAAATAACTTACAGCTCAACAAAGGAACCTTCATGGAAATTAAGAAAATATTCAGAACTATGTGCTAGCAAAACTGTTGCATGATACAATTAAGGTCGTGTTTTGGAAAAGAAGAAATGCTTAATGACAGCCACAATTACAGCGTAAATGTCAATAGGGCAGAGCAAGTGAACATACCCTGTTGACTTGTAAAGGAGGGTCTGCGGTGGAAGGGGGCTAGAACCCAGGCCTGGCTCTCCAACATCCAGTTGTCACAGCTTTGTCGAGGTTAATCGAGGGTGAGGGAGCAGAGACACACCACTCAGAGTGAAAAAAGGGAGCCCTAAGAAGAAATTCCACTGAGGTTAAGTGGGTTACACACATTCAAAAGAACTTTATACCATTCAGTTCAGGAATTTAGGTGGAATGCATAAATTACTGGAAAACAAAACCTAACCAAAGGTGATTTAAGAAATAGAAAACTTTAACAATCCCAGAACAGTGTGGAGGTTGAAGCAGTAGTGAAGTTCTTTCCACGGGAGAGAGTACCTGGCTGTGATTATTTCAGAGGAATGTGTTTCCCTATGCATGTGTGGGCCTGATAATTTCAGTTTTACATATATTCCTTGAGAAAATAGAAAAAGAGAGACCCTTTCCCAACTCTTCAGCTCTTTTTTTTTTTTTTTTTTTTTAAGACCAGGGCAAGCTTGGGACAAGGCAGACCCAAGAACAGCACCAGAAAGGAAAGTAGACTGGTTTCCTGAAGCTGGCTGGAACTTTCCCAGCAAACAGATCAAGTCCACACCACTCAGTGCCGCTTGTAGGCCGAGACGTGCATTTAACCCCTGGACATCACTGGTCAGCCTGACCTGATGCTTGGCCGGAATGGAGGGAATAAAAGCTTATCTGGAGCAGGACCAAGGATGGCTAGGGGCTTGAGTCAGCAACATATCACAAGCTGGAATAATTCAAACCGACGAGTTTAGACACTGTGCAATAATGCCTTTCAGAATTGTGAGGCCTTTCATCTTTCAGGAGTAAAGTGCAACTTGAAACTACTATTTCTCATTCACTAGATTGGCACCATTTAATGAGTGTGTTCGTGTTCTCCAGAGAAACAGTCGATAGGTTATGTGAACATGGTTGGCTCACAGACTAATGAAGGCTTCAGAGTCCTAGGGGCTGCTGTCTGCAAGCTGGAGGCCAGAACAATGAATTATGTAGTTACTCTGAATCAAAAGGACTGCCAACCAGGGAGCGCATGATGTAATTTCCAGTTCAGAGGCAGGAGAAGATGAGCTGTCCCAGCTGATGCAGTGAGGCAGGAAAATGAGGAGGTCTCTTCCTCTTTCCTCCGCCTTTTGCGTTGGTTGACCCTGAAGGAATTGGATGAGGCCCACTAGCAGCGAGAACACCACCTCCTTTACTTAGTCCCTGGATTCACACTTCCTGGCCTGGTGAAATTGGCACATAAAGCTAACCACCTCAGTAAGTATGGCGGTGCCATGCACTAAAGAAACTGTGGACCAGTACAAAGTTGGTGGCAGTGTGTGGGCCTGGAAGCACTTTGGAAAAACTTTCGACATCAGCTTTTAAATTAGTTAATTAAGAGAGCACAACACATGTGCTTCTGTCTTCTGGTTCACTCCCCAAAGACCCACAATGACCCCAAGCAAGAGGCGGGAACTCCATCCAGGTCTGCTGTGTCAGTGACGGAGGCCTAGTGACTTGAGTCAGAGATGATTAAGAAACTGTGAGCAGGGGCCAGAACCCAGAATTGAGATCCAAGCACTCTGATCTGGAAAATGGGTATGCCACTGGCATCGTAACTGCTACACCAAATGCCCACCCAGATACTGTTTTGAAGGTCATCATTGACCTTGTGTGTGAAAGAATGGAGGAAACGGAGAGGTGTCACCACCAACAGTGATTTTCCAGCCTGCGGTGGGAACTGCAGCTGGTCTCCGGGTTCAGCATTTTCCTTTCTGTGGTTATCTGTGTACAACGCAGAGGCTGCCTGAATTTTGCTTCATTACTTTCAGAAGGGGGAAAAGCTCCTACATGGTCAACATAGAGACCCTTAAACGTGTCAGCACTGAGAATTTCAGCTGGACTCCTGAATTTGGTAGCTTCTAGTATTTCACTTTCAATTTAATTCATAGACAGTTTACTAGAATCGTCAGGAGAATCATTAAATGTTTCTTGAGTTTGTGGCTTTTTGACAGAGTTAGCTGCAAGGTAATGGTATTGTGGAGGGTGAGATTCTTTTCCTGGTTTATGTGGAGAGGTTTTCTCAACATGAGTACCATTGATAAACTCTGCCTGTCTCTAGAAATAAATGATTTTCTTAGATAAGCCCCTAAAATGATGATGAGAAAGGAAATGGTCCCATTCATCTCATCAACATGCATTCGTAAAGAAGTTTACATTTCGCATTTATTAGTTATTGAATCTGCCATGTTTTATGTTTTAGTTTTGTACATGTAAAAAAAAATGTGTGAAAGAAAACATAAATTTAATGCTTTGTAGTTATAATGAATTTCACAAGCGGTAGATGTGTGTGTGTGTGTGTATGTATTTCCTTTTCCTTGAAGGAAATGTTACAGGGTGATCAATACAAGATCTTAAGCCATAAACACCAAGTGTGTCTAGGAAAAGAAACTAGAAGGCTGCTGTGGTTTGAATACAGTTTTCCTAAAGTGTTGAAATTTGATTGCCAAGGGTAGGTATTAGGTGCAGTGGTTAAGAGGCCCACTTCCCATATTGTAGTGCCTGGGTTCAGATGTTCGCTTCTGATTCCAGTGTTTTGATGACTCAAGTACTTGGGCTCCAACTATCTGCATTGAAGACCCAGATCAAGTTCTGGGCATCTGTCTTTGGCCTAACAGTCCTGACTTTTGTGGACGTTCAGGGAGTGAGGTGGCAGATGGAAATTCTTTCTGTCTGCCTTTCAGGTGAGTAAATAAATCAAAATGAAAACTCAGTTGTCATTGTGGTAGTGTTGGGAGGACTTTTCAAAGGTATTGAGTTCCTTCGGAGAAACCAATACCTTTTTTTTATGAAACTGGGACTAGGCTAATTCCCTGGTGATGGATACATTGCTTTTGCAGAGGTCTTGAATCTGTTTCACAGCATCAGTTTGTTACAAAGCTAGGCTCCCCTTCCTGTTTTCCCTCTTAGCTGCGTGCCCACTTTGTGCCAGCAGGAGCCACGCACAGCCCGGCACTGTGCTTCATGGCTTCTTCTACTTCAGGATCAGTTTTTCTGCGTCTTATTCCTTGATGGACAGTTTTGGTAAGGATCTTTACTCAGAAGAGGCTTGTTAAAAATGCACTGTGGTTGTAGATGGGATTTTTTTCTTTTTGCTTGTCAGTTTTTTTCTCTTGCTATTTTGGGTCATTTCTGTGTGCAGTGCCGGTTTAGAATTCATGCAATTTTTAGTAGATTATCCTCTTTTTTTTTTTTTTTTACTACAAAGTAACCCTCTAGCTTGAGTGTATTTTTTTTTCTTGCCTTAGATCTGCTTTGCCAGACGTTAGAATAATTTACCATGTTTCCTATGGGTTATCGTGCGCATCACTGTTACCCCTTTACTTCAGCCGTTGCGTGCCCACGTACATATGGGCCAAAACACAAACTGGTGCCCATATGGGATGCTAGTGCCACAGACGGAGGCTTAGCGTGCTATGCCATGGCACTGGCCCATGCCCTTGTATTTTATTTTATTTTATTTTTTTTTGATTTCCAAAATAATTTTATTTCTTTCTCATAAGTAGTTTGCAAAATTCCAGGGCAAATGTTAACTTCCTATACAGAAATAAAAGCAAGTCCTTTAATCATTGGCACAGCATCGATCACATGAATGATCAAACTCAGATCATGAAAAATACATCTGCATATTATAAAACTGACGCGCTTCCGCAGAGGGGCTCATTTTCATTAAGGCCTCGCTTACTGAAAGCTGTCTCGGAGCCGGCCAGGTCATCCTGGATGAGCACAGGAGCAGGCTGTGATGTTGGCATGGCCAGCAACGCCCAGCTGTCCCCGCGTGCTGCCCCGGCCGGTTCCAAGGCCTCACTCTACACTCTCAGGCAGACGCTGTCTGCTTGGCACCTGGCGGGCGTGTCCTCTACCCGTCAGCGCCATCCTCCTCCTCGTCCTCCTTGGCTCTGAAATGCATTTTCCTGAACTCTCGCCTGCTCATGGAGGGGCACGAGGAAGACGCTGGTGGCAGGTCCTGCATGAGCTCCACGTTGCCGAAGAAGCGGCTCACGGGCAGCGGCTGGTTACTGTCCTCATCTAGGAAGACACTGTTGTCCATGGCCAGCCCTGGGGCCCGGGCAGCCTCTGTCTCCGGCCCGGGCTCGGCCTGGGGGGCGCAGCAGCCCTGGGCATCTTCGTGGCCGGGCGCAGCCCCAGGCTGCGGCCTGGATGGGTTGTCCGCAGTCTGGGCTGAACGGGGACTAAGTGGCAGCCCGGCCACCTCCTCGTGGCCAGCGGCATCAGTCGCGGGGCCCGCCAGCGCTGCACTGTCCCCAGCGAACTCAGACTCCGGAGGGGTCCCCGGTGCCATTTTGGGCAAGGAAGCACCATCATTTTGGGGGACGAGTTTCTGTAATTCTGATTTCACAAGATGGCCTTTGTCACACTTGAACTTCTTGGAGGACCGTCTGTCTATGGCCTTGTGTGACGAGGAAGTCTGGCATGCTGTCTTGGCTGATGTGGCACCGGCGGCGTCCTGCGGGGCGGCCGAGCAGCTGCGGGCTCTCAGGCGTGCTGAACACCGCACCTCACCTGTGAGCTTTCGGCTCCTCATGGGGCTGAGCGGTACCCCGCGCCCGGCCCAACGCTGCTCGGCCTGCCCTTGTATTTTAAAGTACAGCTTGTAAGTGGTAGTTTGGCAAAATTTATCCTCGTAATGTTCTGTGTGAAGAGCTTGCTTGTGTGTTTCTTTTTTTCTTTTAAGACTTAGACATTTTTATTTACTTACCTTTTGAAAGAAAGAGGGAGAGAGAGAGGGACCTTTCTCTCTTCAATTCATTCCCCATGTGTTTACAGCAGGACTTTGCCAGGCCAAAGGTGTGGAGCTCGCAGCTTAATCTGGGTTTTCCATGTGGGCAGCAGGGACCCAAGTTCTTGAGCCATCCGTTGTCTGCTGCCTCCTAGGGTACCTGTGGGTAGGAAAAGGTTTGAAAGTCAGGGAGCTGGAGCTGCATGCACTGGGCTTGGGGATGGGGTTTCTCTGTGGCAGCTTAGCACTGTGCCAAATGCCAGGCTCATGTGTAGCTTTTGGGAGGAGCCGGCTAGCGATGAATTTAGTGTGCATGTGTGTATGTACAAAATCCTGTTTCACCATCATGTTTGAAGGATGGGCTTGCTTAATTGAAAATTGTAGATTGGTAGCCTCAGGGATCTCCCTTTCCCACAGGAGGACACGTGTGAGACTCTGAATGATGTTTGAATGGCTGGGTAGTACTGACCCCTACAAAGGAAACTGTGTTATGAGAATTATGCGTGTACTTAAAAATTTTGTACTAAAATGAACTTAATTCAAGTTCCAACTAATTTCTTGTTATTTTAAAAAGTTTTATGTACTTTGATAATCTGGTACCATTTGTTTTTAAAGATTTATTTTATTTTTATTGGAAAGTCACGTATGCAGAGGAGAGACAGAGAGGAAAATCTTCCATCTGATGATTCACTCCCCAAGTGGGTGCAGTGGTCATAGCTGTGCTGATCCAAAACCAGGAGCCAGGAGCCTCTTCTGGGCCACCCGCACATGGGTGCAGGATCCCAAGGCTTTGGGCCGTCCTCGACTGCTTTCCCCAGCCACAAGCAGGGAGCTGAATGGGGAGTGGAGCATGCCGGGATTAGAACCAGCACCCATATGGGATCATGGTGCATGCAATGCAAGGACTTCAGTCGCTAGGCTACCGTGCCAGGCCTGATACTATTTTTTTTTTTTAGCATTACTTATACGTAAAGTGCCATGATACACTTAAATAGCAGAATGTTGAACTTGTAACTGTTACTAAAGAACTGTACCACTGAAATAATAGGGGGAAGTGGTGGGAACAGAAAATAGAGATAAAAGAGGAGGGAAAATCCCTATGGCTTACAAGACTGTATCATGGCAAATAACAACGAAAAACTGAAAAAATATTTATTTATTTGAGGTAAGAGAGAGTGAAAGAGACAAGGAGATCTTGATCTTTTTGGTATTTTTAATTAAAATTTTTTGTAGTTAATAAACACACACACGTGTGCATGTTAGAAGAGAGAGAGAGAGAAAGAGAGCTTGTATTTGCCAGTTCATTCCCCATGCCTTCTACTGCAGGGTGCCATGACTGGGCCATGCTAAATCCAGGAGCCTGCAGCCCACTCCCCTTTTTCCCTCCCTCTCTCTCTCTTTCTCTCTGGGTTTCTCATGTGAGTGGCAGGGCCCTAAGAATGTGATTTTCGTTAGGGATTACTGTTCTTGAGTGTTTTTTAAAATGCCTGTTTGGCCATGTGAATGTCTTGTTTTGAGAAATACTCAAGTCTTTTTCACATTTTAAAATTTGGTTATTTGTTGTATTGCCATTGAGTTATTTGGGTTCCTTACAGATTTTGGATGTTACCCTATATCAGCTGTGTAGTTTATTAACACTTTGTTCTGCAAGTTATTTCTTCACTTTCTTGTTTGCTTTACTTTTAGTTTGGTTTAATCCTGTTTCTATAGATTTGATTTTGGCATTCTTGTCTCAAAATTTGTGTGAGTGGTTATTTTGAATATCTTTGTGTAATTGTACTTCCATTCAGTATTATTAGGTTAATCTGTGTTTATACTCTAAATTTTTATTTTTGTGCTATGTGTAAAATGTTCTGTTGTTTAAATTTGTCCTAGTTTTAATTATTCAGTTGGTGTGTGTTTTGTTTCTTTCTGTTTTTTCAATGTTGATGTCTAAATTTTTATTTTATTATTATTTGTATGATACAGTTCCATAGGCTCTAAGATTTCCCTTACCCACTTCCCAAAAGCCCTCCTCCCATCTAATTTCTTCTTTATTATTACAATAGTATAGTATGGTTTTCACAATCAGTCCTGAGTCCATTATTCTGCTATTTAAGTGTATCCTACATTGTAGGTATGGACAATGGCAGAGAGTCCAGCATCCTATTGTCAAGATATATTTAACAGTTCAATTGGGAGTCCATCTTTCATCTGGAAGTAGAGATGCATACTGCATTTAGTCTCTACTACACAGTTATTATACATTCCCTTAAATGAAGAGCTGTTAAACAAAATCAAAAACATTAAATGTATAAAGGATTTTCTTGGTGTATGTTTTAGAAATTTTTAGGGTATATGAGTATATAGCTGAGAACTGATGGGGGCTGCCTATCTAGCCTTGCTCTCAATGTATGAGATCAGAATGCTTTATCTGGACATTATATATCGTTGTGATTAATTTAAAACAGACTAACAGGAGAACACGCTGAGTGTATGCTTTTGACTATACTGTGATTTTACTTTGTTTATAAAAATGGGTGCCATCATTTTCTTGCACCTTTAATTTTATTTAAACAAATGTCTTTGTTGGTCTCAGAGCTAATGATCCTATGAGGAATTCCATATGTTTGCTTTTCTCTGTAATGAAGTCGTGATTATGAGATTGTCAGTTTATTCTTGAAAGTGAACTGTTCTCCAGTGTGGCTGTAGACCTCACGGAGGACAGTCACAATGGCACGGTGATTTTGTAGCACTGAAATGACATGGGCATTTGCGCTGATGGTCTGCACCGAGTTGTAGTTAGAACTGAGGGCATATGTATATATATATATATATTTTTAGGACAAAGGTAGGGGCCCAATGTAGAGACATTTTTGTGGATATTTGTATGTACTTCTAAATGAATAAATAAACATTTAAAACTTTTTGGGTTTCAACTTGTGATAGAGTAACTGTTGATTGATATGATGAAATGAAGTCCTTGTTTGTCAGCGTTTGAACAGGCCCTGAGGTCTGAAGAAGGCTTGCGAAACACTTTTTAAATTAAATGGCAAATGTTTTGGGCAAAAACAAAACAAAGTCACAAAACTTTACCTTGCTGTTGTTGTTATCAGGATAGTATAATTTACTTAAAAGATGGATTTAGCTAAGTTTCAAGTTATGTTAAGCTTCAGTGCATTTTTAATTATTTGCCTTACAGCTTTGTTTTTAACTAGAGTATATTTCTAAATAAAATACATTGCAGGTGCTGACCTTAAGGAAAGAGTCAAAATGAGTTCCAGTGAAGTTGGTCCTTTTGTCTCCAAAATTCGGACAGTGATTAACGATATTGGTAAGCATGAGTTCTCCTTTCAGCATGCTGACAGTAATCTTAAATGTCAGATTTTAGAAGTTACTGTTGTTTTTATGTATAGTTTTTTATCAAATAGTTACATAATTATGTAACCCTGATGCGCAGCAGTTTTTTTTAAGTAACACTTAATGCACATATTTGAAATATTTCATAAACTATTTTAGAATGATAAATATCTTCTCTGTGATGGTATGACATGTATGCGTACATATTTTAAAAGAGAATAGTTTGACCTAACCCTTTGACTTAAAAACACTTCTTCTTCAAGTGCATACAAACTTATGGATTTGAATTTTTTTTGTTTACTTTTACATAAATGGAATCATTGTTTTTCTGAAATTACTATGTATGTCAGTTTACTATTAATGCTTTATAACTACTGCATACTCATTCATAGTAATTTTTAAAAATTGTTAACATAGCACTTTTATTTGAAAGGCAATGAATGAGAGGAGAAATTTCTACTATAGCTGGGTCTGGGCCAGGTTAAAACCAGGAGTTTGGGAACACAATCCAGGAATCCCACTTGGGGATCCAGCTACTTGAGTCATTGACCCTGCTAATGTAGGAAATGCATCAGCAGGAAGCTAGATGGGGAATTGGAGCCCAGGTACTCTGCATGCGTGCAGGGGTCCTGAGCTGCGTGTTAATCACTACACCTTACCCACTAATTCACAGTGTTATCCAGAATATTGAGTTCTTTAATAATGAGCATTTAGCCATTGTTTTTGCTTTTTGTTCTTAAAGCTGTTTTGCAAGTTATATGAAAGTAGAGATTATTGTAGTTTATGAGGATGAATTTTTTATAAAGATTTGTTTATTTATATTGGAAAGACAGATCAGGTTTATGGAGAGACAAGAGGAAGATCTTCCATTCATTGGTTCATTCCCCAGTTGACTGCGATGGTCAGAGTTGAGCTGATCCAAAGCTGGGAGCTAGGAGCTTCATCAAGGTCTACCATATGGGTTCAGGGGTCAAAGGCTTTTATGCCATCCTGATCTGTTTTCCCAGGCCACAAGCAAGGAGCTGGATGAGAAGTAGAGCAGCTGGGACACAAACTGGCACCTATATGAGATCTTGATGGTTACAAGGCAAGGATTTAGCCATTGAGCCATCATGCTGGGCCCTAAGGATAGATCTCTAAGCATAGAGTTACTCTTCCAAGTATCCTGTGTTCATTTAGATTTTAACAAATCCTAGCAAATTATGTTCAAAGATTATAATAATTTGTATTCTCATTAATTAAATGTCAGTACCTGTTGCATCCTACTTCTGGCCTTCAGTGTTGATATTTTAAAAAAATATCAATTTGAAAAGCAGAGAGTTATGTATATAGAGTGTGTGTACCAGAGAGCGCTTCCATCTGCTTGTTCATTCCCCAGATGGCCACAGGAGTCATGTCTTGACCACAGCCAGGCACTGCTTCCTGGTCTTCCATGTGGATGCAGACCATCAGCACAAATGCCCATGTCATCCGATAGAAGATCTTCCTCTCTATCTCTCCTTCTCTCCATGTATCTGACTTTCCAATTATGAAAAAAAAAAAAACTTAAAAAAAATCTATTCTTTTCTAATACTCTGTTGGGATTGTGATTAAAATTTCCTTAAATATTTTGTGTGTGTGTGTGTTAATTTTTTTTGAATTTTTGAATTTTATGGTACAATTTTGTATAGAATGGATTCCCCTCCTGAAACTCCAACCCCCCGACAGATTTTCCCCATGTTGCTACAATAGTATAGTGCTTCATATGGAGTCATAATACATCAGTGTGTTACTTAAGTGTGTCCCGATATCGCTGGTACGGACTATGTCAGACAGTCCAGCATCCATTGTCTACACATTTCCAACAGTTTCATTGGGAGTCCATCTTTGATTTGGAAGCAGGGATGCATAGTGCATTGTATCCCCACATGTGGATATGGTAGTCTCTATTACTCCATCACTATACATTCCCATAAATGAGAAGCCATGAGATAAGGTCAAAAACTGGTGTGAATTAGAACAATAGCAAGGACAACAACAAAACTATAGCACCATGAAAAAAACGAGTCTCTGAGTAACACATGGGTGACAAAAAGAAAACACAAAAGTCTCTTGGGTAAAAGGATGCCACCATGTAATCCATGACCCAGCGATGAATTTAACAAGAGAAAAGAATGTATTTGGAATAAATGAAACTGAAATCGAAAGCATCAAAACATGGAATGCAGCAAAAAAAAAAAACAAACCCCAGTATGAAACAGGTAATTGAAGTAACACTTTGCATGATATTATCCTTAGATTAGATAGAACATATGATATGTGTTCTTTTGAGATTGACTTATTTCACTGAGCATAATGGTCTCCAGTTGGGACCATCTAGTTGCAAATGGTATAATTTCCTCCTTCTTAATAGCTGAGTAATATTCCAAGGAGTAGATGTACCATAGTTTCTTTAACCACTTTTCTTTGGACGCACATCTGGATTGTTTCCATGTCTTTGTTATTATAGATTGTGCTGCTGCAAATGTAGGGTTATGTATCCCTTTCTCACATGCAGATTTCACTTCTTTTGAGTATATTCCTAGCAGCGGGATAGCTGGGTCATATGGCAGATTTATTTGCAATTCTCCACTCTCCGTACTGATTTCCACAGTGGTTGTACTAGCCTACACTCCAAACAGCAGTGAAGGAGGGTGCGTTTCTCCCCATATCCACACCAGCAGGTGTTGTTAGTAGAGTTCTGAATATAGGCCAGTCTCACTGGAGTTAGGTGGTACCTCAACATGGTTTTCATTTGTATCTCCCTGATGGCTAGGGAGCCTGAGCACATTTTCATATGTCTGTTAGCCATTTGGATTTGTTCTTTTGAAAAATGTCTGTTCATTTCCATTGCCCATTTTTTCATTTTTTTTTTTTTCCTGTTCCTGGGTTTCTGAAGCTCTTTGTAAATCCTGGATATTAGTTCCCTATCACTTGTGTACTGTGCAAAGATTTTCTCCCATTCTGTTGGTTGCTTCTTCACTTTGTTAATTGTTTCCTTTGCTGTACAGAAGCTTTTTAGTTTGATGTAATCCCATTTGTTCATTTTGGCTTTGATTGCCTGTGCTTTTGGCGCCTTTTCTAAGAAGTCTTTTCTGTTCCAATGTCTTGGGGAGTACTTTCTATGTTTCCCTTTAACAGTTCTGAATGGTTTCTGTGTGTAGATTTAGGTCCTTGATTCATTTAGAGCTGATTTTTGTATAATGTGGCAGGCGTGGGTCTTGCTTCTTAATTCTGCAATCTGTTATCTCGTTGTCCCAACAGCATTTGTTGAATAGACCAGGCTTTTCCCCGGATTGTTTTCAGTTTTCTTGTAAAAAAATTAGTTGACTATACATGTGTGGCTCCCTTCTGGTGTTTCTATTCTGTTCCACTGGTCTGCTTCTCTGTTTCTGTACCAGTATTAGACTGTTTTGATAACCCTTGCTCTGTAGTATGTCTTGAGATCTGAAATTGTTATGCTTCCAGCTTAGTTTTTATTCTTCAGGATAGCTTTGGCTATCCGTGGTCTCTTGTGATTCCAGATGAACTTCTGTATTATCTTTTCTATTTCTGAAAAGACTATTGTTGGGATTTTGATTGGGATTGTATTGAATCTGTATATTATTTTTGGTAATATGTTCATTTTGATGATGTTGATCTTGCCAATCCAGGAACATGGTACGTTTCTCCATTTTTCAATGTCTTCTTGTATTTCCTTTTTTAATGTTTTATAGTTTTCATCATAGAGGTATTCTACATATCTAGTTAGCTTAATTCCTAGGTATTTAAGATTCCTCTCCACTATTTTAAATGGGACTTTCTCAGCCATGGAATTTTTTGTGTACACTAGTGCTATCGATTTGTGTTCATTAATTGTGTATCTTGCTACTCTGCCAAAGTCTCTTATGAGTTCCAAGAGTCTCTTGACTGAGTCTTTTGGCTCTCCTATGTAGAGAATCGTGTCATCTGCAAATAGAGATAACTTCAATTCCTCTTTTCTAATTTGGATTCCTTTAATTCTTTTATCTTGCCTGTTAGCTCTGGAAAGGACTTCCAATACTATATTGAAGAATAGTGGTGACAATGGACATCCTTGTCCAGTTCCAGATTTTAGTTTGAAGGCTTCCAGTCTTTCTCCATTTAGTTTGATGCTAGAATTGCGTTTTTCGAAAATTGCTTTGATTGTGTTGTAGAATGTTCCTTCTATGCTTATCTTGTTTGGGGTTTTCAGCATGAAATGGTGTTAGATTTTATCAGATGCCTTCTCTGCATCTATTGAGAGAATCATTTGGTTTTTATTTTTCAATTTATTGATGTGATTTATTACATTTATTGCTTTGCGAATGTTGAACCATCCTTGCATGCCTGGGATGAATCCCACGTGGTCTGGGTGAATGATCTGCCTGATGTGTTGTTGGATCCTGTTGGCTAGTATTTTGTTGAGAATCTTTGCATCTTTGTTCATCAAGGATATTGGTCTGTAGTTCTCTTTTTCTGTTGTGTCTATCTGGCTTTGGTATTAAGGTGATACTAGCTTCATAGAGAGTTTGGAAGCATTGCCTCTCTTTCTGTTGTTTTGAAAAGCTTGAGGAGGATTGAGGTAAGTTTCTGTTGAAACATTTGGTAAAATTCAGCAGTGAAGCCATCTGGTCCAGGACTTTTCTTAGTTGGGAGGGCTTTAATTATTGATTCAATCTCAGTGCATATTATAGGTCTATTTAGATTGTTAATTGCTTCTTGATTCAATTTTGGTGGTTTTTTGCATCCAAAAATCTATCCATCTCGTCTAGATCTTCTGATTTATTCACATATGTTTGGTTGCAATAGTTCCTAATGATTGTACGTCTGAGGTATCTGTTGTTACATTTCTGTTCTTGTCTCTGATGCTGTTGATTTGTATTTTCTCCCTCTTTTTTTTATTAGTTGGGCTAGTGGAGAGTCTATTTTGTTGATTTTTCTCAAAGAACCAGCTCT